CCGCCCACCCTGTCCTCTCTGCCCCCAGAGGAGCCCATCTACTGCTACACGCCGCACAACTTCACGCGCGACCAGGCGCTGTACGCCCGCGGCTACTGCTGGACGGAGCTTCGGGACGCGCTGCCCGGCGTGGACGCCAGCCTGTGGCCGTCGCTGTTCGAGCACAAGTTCCTGCCCTACGCGCTGCTGGCCTTCGCCGCCATCATGTACGTGCCCGCGCTGGGCTGGGAGTTCCTGGCGTCCACGCGCCTCACCTCGGAGCTCAACTTCCTGCTGCAGGAGATCGACAACTGCTACCACCGCGCGGCCGAGGGCCGGGCGCCCAAGATCGAGAAGCAGATCCAGTCCAAGGGCCCCGGCATCACGGAGCGCGAGCGGCGCGAGATCATCGAGAACGCGGAGAAAGAGAAGAGCCCCGAGCAGAACCTGTTCGAGAAGTACCTGGAGCGGCGCGGCCGCAGCAACTTCCTGGCCAAGCTCTACCTGGCGCGCCACGTGCTCATCCTGCTGCTCAGCGCCGCGCCCATCTCCTACCTGTGCACCTACTACGCCACGCAGAAGCAGAACGAGTTCACGTGCGCGCTGGGCGCCGCCCCCGACGGCGCGGGCGCGGGCGCGGGCGCCGGCGCCGTGCGCGTGAGCTGCAAGCTGCCGTCCGTACAGCTGCAGCGCATCATCGCGGGCGTGGACATCGTGCTGCTGTGCGTCATGAACCTCGTCATCCTGGTCAACCTCATCCACCTGTTCATCTTCCGCAAGAGCAACTTCGTGTTCGACAAGCTGCACAAGGTGGGCATCAAGACGCGCCGCCAGTGGCGCCGCTCGCAGTTCTGCGACATCAACATCCTGGCCATGTTCTGCGACGAGAACCGCGACCACATCAAGTCGCTCAACCGCCTGGACTTCATCACCAACGAGAGCGACCTCATGTACGACAACGTGGTGCGCCAGCTGCTGGCCGCGCTGGCGCAGTCCAACCACGACGCCACGCCCACCGTGCGCGACTCGGGCGTGCAGACGCTGGACCCCA